ATTAGCCGCTCAGATCAATCTCCTACGCGGCCATGGTGGGCTCTGATGCTGCATCAATTCCCGAGCAGATGTGATCATTTAAAGTCCCCCGATTGCCGAGCTGAAAAACAATAAACCGGTCAGCATTCAATGCAGTTGTCATCCGGGAAAGTCACTGGTCGTTGTTCGCTGACCACAGAGGTTGGACCGGAACACCATGGAAGATTCTCGACCATAGCTGGCGTGATCTCAATTCCCGGCCTAATTATTTGAACATCCCGGTCATTCTAAAACGTCGTCCTGATCATGCTTGCTTTTCATCGGTGCCCTGACTGATCCGTTCCTAGTCTCGTTATCTGAAGCTTCTCGGTCGGAGTTCAATTCCATAACAGGTTTCTAATGTGCCCCGACCTAGGGACCTTGTGTGTATATATATATATATATATATATATATATATATATATATATATATATATATATATATATATATATATATATATATATAGAGCAGCCTCAGCGCTTAAAGAACTTGTGAAGAAATGAACAACCGAACTCCGAATATTAGTCGCATAAGTGTATTAGCCAAAAGTCCCGGTGGTTTAACATCATAATTCGTAGCTTCTACGCCGATCGACCAGCTTTTGAGTGTGTATCCACATGTTTGGGTAGCAGCGTGCGGCATTGTGGAGCCGATCAACCGGTTGGGAAATTGGTTTCCAAGTACTTTAGACCTCGACATCCTCTGAGCTGATGATCCGGGAGTGGTTGAGGATTAAAATACGGCTTCATTCCTTCGCCGACTTTGGAAGCCCCTCGGGGTGGTGGTCGGCAGTTTCTTATATAGATTGTCGGACGAGCGGGGATTCCAGTGTTTTCTAAGTCGCACTCCCCGGCCGTCCCCGAGCAAATGGTTCGCTTCTCCAGGTGCTCGAAGCCCGGTTGGCCCGAGATCGAGTTCGTCACTGTACTTAAACAAATGAGCGGGCCAGCAAACCATGATATGTGTCGGCGATCGTACAGGTCAGAACGAATCGTGGTTCGCGAAGAGTTCCCGGTCACCGGTTCGAGTGAGGTCGGGGAGCGCGCTCACTTGTGTTATTTTCGTGTTTTTCACTAGCCCTAAACACACGTTATCTTCCCGGACGCGTCAGAGCTCATGCATATTTGAAAATCTGAGCAAGATGCTCGGGCATGCCGTTTCTTGTTATTATATTTGGAGTTTGTAAATTATTTGTAATTTAATTCAAAATGTAAAAATAGTATAAGTTTTAGCTTGTACTTTAGAAAATTATAATAGACATTTAAATGTACTAAGTCCGGTTAGGTTGGTATTTCCACCACCGGCACCTAAATTCCGGTTAGATTGGCTTTGCCGTCACCGGCATAAGTCCGGGTCCGTCCCGGCACGGTCGGTAGACCAAGAAGCCCTACGAGGGTAGGCATAAAACCTGGTCCGTCCCGGCACGGTCGGTAGATCAAGAAGCCCTACGAGGGTAGGCATAAGTCCGGGTCCGTCCCGGCACGGTCGGTAGACCAAGAAGCCCTACGAGGGTAGGCATAAGCCCGGGTCCGTCCCGGCACGGTCTGTAGACCAAGAAGCCCTACGAGGGTAGGCATAAGCCCGGTCCGTCCCAGCATGGTCGGTAGACCAAGAAGCCCTACGAGGGTAGGCTTAAGCCCGGGTCCGTCCCGGCACGGTCGGTAGACCAAGAAGCCCTACGAGGGTAGGCATAAGCCCGGGTCCGTCCCGGCACGGTCGGTAAACCAAGAAGCCCTACGAGGGTAGGCATAAGTCCGGGTCCGTCCCGGCACGGTCGGTAGACCAAGAAGCCCTACGAGGGTAGGCATAAGCCCGGGTCCGTCCCGGCATGGTCTGTAGACCAAGAAGCCCTACGAGGGTAGGCATAAGCCCGGGTCCGTCCCAGCACGGTCGGTAGACCAAGAAGCCCTACGAGGGTAGGCATAAGCCCGGGTCCGTCCCGGCACGGTCGGTAGGCCATGAAGCCCTACAAGAGTAGGCTAAGTCTGGGTTCGTCCAGGCCTTGTTAAGATGGGTATAGCCGTCAGCTTTAGACGACAGCTCTCGACGAGAGACCGGGTTCGTCCCGGCCTTGTTAAGTTGGGTATAGCCATCAGCTTTCGACGACAGCTCTCGACAAGAGACCGGGTCCGTCCCGGCCTTGTTACGTTGGGTATAGCCGTCAGCTTTCGACGAAGGACCGGGTCCGTCCCGACCTTGTTAAGATGGGCATAGCCGTCAGCTTTAGACGACAGCTCTTGACCAGGGACCGGGTCCGTCCCGGCCTTGATAAAGTTTGGTATATACTGGGGAGCTTAAGATCAAAGTAACCTTCCCGGTCTCGCTATCGTTAGACCATCGGGTTTCCAAGTGTCCCTCCGCCTGGGACTTTCAATTCGTAAACCGAGCGCATCTCGCTAGCATTTGGTGCATCGGCATTGTAAGATCAGTCGGGTCATTTCCCGATCGAAGTCTAAATCGCAGAGCAAACTTGAGAATCTGCCATATCTACTCCCTTAGGTTGACGATTCTGGCAACTGAGGGAGTACGGTGGCTTCTACATTGATAAGGTTGTAGAGCACGCCCCTCAGCCTGTGGAGCTCGCGCACTGAAGTGCTCCCTGAGCAAAGTGACCTCCTCGGTCCCGTTTCCATTAGACCTTCGGGTCTCGTGGGTCGCTTCACGCCTAGATCCGACCTTCAGGTCGTACCTAGCAACCCGGTCTATAAACCGGTAAAGTCGATCTCTAGATCGCAGCTAACCCGATCTCCCGATCTTAGTTAGCTTCTTGGCCGCTCGATCGGTAAAGATTCGACCTCGCGAATCATGTTGCAAAATCGACCCCTAGGTCGGGCAACCCCTTTCTTTTGTCCACCGGACTGCGTTTAGCGTTGTGCTCTTTTTTCCTAAGCTAAAAAATTTTTTCCACTGGGTTTTTATTAGCTTAAGGTTTTTAACGAGGCAACCGGCGTAAGTCACGGACCTTATAATCGGTTTTTCAGCCCGAACCCTTCCTCGCTAGCTCATCGTCAGGGCACGGACTGGGGGGCTTCATGATGGGGAATATACCCTGGGTACAGGCTCCCCGTACGCTCCGTGCTCTCGTTTGGGTCGGGGTCAAACGGTTCGGGTCCCGGTCTGCGGGTCAAGGTCAAACCTGCCTACGCTTGACCCTATAAATAGGGCCTTAGCCCTCCAAGTTAGGGGTTCCTCTCCTTCTTCTCCACTAGCTCTCTCTCTCTCTCTAGCTAAACACTCTCTCTTCTCTCTACACAAGAAGATTTATGAATAAAAGAGTTATTTGAGCTACTTCTTGTCTACTCTACATTGTTCGTACATACACTATAGTTTGTACATACGGTATACTCTCTATGTACATCGGGGAATTAACCGTATCAAAGGTAAAACCCAAATCATCTACACGGACACCCCGCCTGTTATCAACCCAAGAACATTGGAATAGAGGAATCCTAAACACCTTATAATCAAGTTCCCAGATTTCATCAATGACTCCATAGTATGACATAGTAGCATCTACCGGGTTAGTATCTTTAGCACTAGAATACTCTCTTGATTGTGCTACTAATGTCACTCCACTATTTTTGCACTATACTTTTTTGATCTTGACATTTTGTGTAAAACGTATACCCATTAATATCATATCCCTCATAAGTGCTCACAACAAATCTAGGGCCATACGATAACCATCTAATGGTTTCAGTGATATTATTTGGCACTTGAGATAACTCTTGCATCACTGTATCTTTGAACCATGTGATAAATGTAGAATTGTGTTCTTTCGTCACCCACATTTCACCTTTAGAAGGATTTTGTTGCCTTATAATAGACAAGTGTTGTTCCAAATATGGATGAACCTCAGAAAGCTGCTGCAGTACGAGATGATGTGCTTGATTTCAGATTATTTGACTTGGGACATGTGTTTTAAACCCAATGGTACCTTTTCCTGTGAGTCTTCCCTCATGACGTGATTTAGAAGCACCAATGGACTGAACATTAGCCAAATAATCAGTACAGAAATCAATCACTTCTTCAGCGCCATAAGCTTCAATTATACTCCCCTCTGGCCGATATCGATTTCTCACATATCCTTTCAAAATTCCCATGTATCTCTCAAATGGATACATATACCTCAAGAATACAGGACCACACATTTTAATTTCCCACACCAAGAGAACTGTTAAATGCACCATAACATCAAAAAATGATGGAGGGAAATACATTTCAAACTGGCATAAAGTTACTACCACATCAGCTTGCAAAGAATCCAACACCTCAGGATCAACAACTTTACTACTAATGACATTGAAAAAGTAGCAAAGCTTTGTAATTTCTTGTATAACATGGTTAGGTAATATGCCTCTAATAGCAATAGGTAACATATGTTGCATTAGCACATAGCAATCATGTGATTTCATACCAACCAATTTGAGGTCCTTCACTGAAACAAGCTTTTTAATGTTAGATGAATAGCCAGAAGGAACCTTGACACCATTTAGACAACTACAAAAACTTGTTTTTTCCTTTTTAGACAGAGTATAACAAGCTGGAGGTAAGTATGCCCTCTTTCCAGATTCTTGTGGTGCTAATTGAGTCCTTATCCCCAATTCTACCATATCTTTTCTAGCTTTAATACCATCTTTCGTCTTACCTTGAATATTCAACAATGTCCCGATAATGCTATCACAAATATTTTTCTCCACATGCATTACATCAAGACAATGTCGAACAGATAAGTGCTCCCAATATGGTAAATCCCATAATATAGACCTCTTTTTCCAAATACCCTTTTGACTTGTTTTTGAAGTTTTTCCCCACACATTATCAATGTTTTTCACTCGATCATAAACAACATCCCCTGATAATGGTAAGCGAGCAACTCCAGTCTCAGATTTTCCATTGAAAGCTTTTTTCCTCTTTCGATAAGGATAGTCAATAGGTAAAAAGGTTCGATGACTCATGAACACATTTTTCCTACTGTTGTTCAACCAAAGATCAACTGTTTCATCTTCACAAACAGGGCATGCCTTAGCCCCTTTAGTAGTATACCTGACAAGTTACCATATGCTGTGAAGTCATTAATTGTGCAGAACAGCATGGCTCGTAAAGTGAAGTTGGTTTGACTATGAGCATCAAATACTGTCACACCTTCATTCCACAACATCTTTAAATCTTCAATAAGCGGTGCCAAGTACACATCTATGTCGTTTCCTGGTTGTTTAGGACCAGATATTAGCAATGATAACATGATGTACTTGTGCTTCATACACAACCACGGAGGAAGATTGTAAACTGTTAAAAGAACTGGCCAAGTGCTATGGCGACTGCTCATGTTACCATGAGGATTCATTCCATCTGTGCATAGTCCAAGCCTAAGATTTCGATTTTCAGCACCGAAATCAGGAAACTTCTTATTAATGTTCTTCCACTGAGGAGAATCGGCAGGATGTCTCAACTTTCCATCTTCTTTTCTCCCACTAGCATGCCATTGCATATTCTTCGCATTCTTTGCATTTGCAAACAAACGTTTGAATCTTGGAATCACGGGTAGATACCACAATAACTTCGCTGGAGGACCTTTCTTCTGCTCACATGCATCATCGAGCCCTTTTCGTTTATAACGCGATGCTCCACACTTTGGACACACATGCAAGTCTTTGTTTTGATTCCAATACAAAATACAGTCGTTTGGACATGCATGGATCCTTTCAATCTCCATACTCAATAGACATAACATTTTCTTTGCCTCATAAGTTGAATAAGGAAGTTCATTCTCATTTGGAAGCATGCCCTTTAAAAGCTCTAATAACTCCGTGAAACTCTTATCACTCCACCTATGTTTTGCTTTTACGGTATACAATTTAAGCACTGCTGATAACTTTGTAAATTTACTACATCCAGAAAACAAAGGTTTTCCAGAACTCTCAAAAAAACTTTCAAACTCTTGAGGCATTTCATTCAAATCCCCTTGCATATCCCGCATCAATTCATCTAGCCGATCATTGTCTCCATCATTTCCAACATTATCTTCATTACTTTGATCTTTCTCTACATTTTTTCTACATTCTCTTTGATTTGTACTGTTACTAGTAAGGACAGTTTCACCATGCCATATCCACCGGTCATATCCTATCTTAAAACCACGACGTATCAAATGTTCCTTAATTTGTTCAGAACTACAAAACTTTTTTAGATTTCTACAATCATAACAAGGACACACTATATAATTTTCACCAATTTTACTTGCATATTCCTCGACAATTTTAACAGACTCTTGAACCCCATGAACATATTCAAGTGTATTGCGTTTTTTATACATCCAACTCCGATCCATATCTCCTATATATTGTCACACAACATTTAAGAAATGATAAATGAGTTAGTCTCTTAAGTTATAACTTAAAGGTTCAAATTAAAGCTTTAACTAAATAATTTTAAATTTATTAATTCATAAGGTAATGGTTGGTCAAATATGATTGCAACAAAATAAGCGAAGTACTTTAGTAATTACAAGTTCATATCATATTTTACTTTTCCAAAAATAAACATCATATTTTACAATAATACACAATAAATTTGTCAACAATGCCTAACATATATAATAATACACAACAAATTTGTCAACAATGGCTAACATATACAATAATACACAACAAATTTGTTAACAATATCTAACATATACAATAATATACAACGAATTTGTCAACAATGCCTAACATATACAATAATACACAACAAATTTGTATATACAATAAACCCCCACGTTTCACATCCTTTAATGCTTGCTTTTATACTTAATTAATAATTCACAATTAACCTAATCCAATCTTAAAACCACTTTACAGATGGCATCAAACCAAAACAATAAACAACAATAACAAATAACACGCAATAAACAACAATAACAAATAACAAAAAAAAAATAAAATAATTAATGATTTTCAAAAAAAATAATAATAATAACAAACGCACCTTGGAGACGGCGCCGGCGTTCGTAGCAACGGCGGTGGTAGCGTGCGATGTAGCAGCAGCGACCGGCGTTGGTTGGCATGCGAGCAGCAGCGACGACCGGCGGTGGTGGGCGTGCGAGCAGCAGCGGTGAGCGATGAACGGCAGACGGCGAACGGACGGCGAATGGGAGGTCTATCTGATGGAGAAGGTCGATTGCTAGGGTTGGAGGTCTATCTGATGAACTGATCGATTTGGGGGATTAGAAATATAATTCGCGTCCAAAGTTCGCAATTTTGGACGCGAATTATATCCGCATTAAATGATTCGCGTCCACGCGAAATTTGGCCGCATTTAATTATTCGCGTCCAAAGTTCGAAACTTTGGACGCGAATTATTTATAAAATAATAATAATAATAATATAGTGGCAATTTAATTACAAAATTACCACCGCACTACACATTCGGCGTCCAAAGTTCGAACTTTGGACGCGATTTATTAGATTTTATTGATATTTTTTGTACTAGTGTCATTTTCTTAATTCCAAAATAATAACTGGAAGACAACTCCCGGTCTTAGTTCTCCAAATTCATCTCTTTCCTGACTTAGTGTATTGAATTCAGCTGACAAGATACCAGCCGCAACTGTAGTGTTTCCACACATTGAGCGACGAAGGTAGAAGCATGTCTATAGCAACTGCTTGGTGGCCTTGAAACAACATATCTGGAAGGGGGCGTATGCTGTGCCTCGCCGGAAGAAGGGGACATGGCTCTTCGTTACAACCGGAAATTTCTAGGTTCCTGAAGAGAAATAACTCCAAGTAGTTCAACAGAAAACTATTAAAATAAGCAAAATAGACTTGAAAAAATGGAGTAAATAGAGTCACTGCTCTGCCTCTTTTCCCATTATGAATGAGATGGAGGGTAAATAGAATCTGTTTATGATGGTGGTGCATGTGTAGTGAAGATGACGGTGACGGAGATGGAGGCCACGGCAGATGTTGCGATGGTTGTCGCCGCTAGATCGCTGAGTGATAGAGAGAGAGAGGGCGGGATGACAGTGGTTGACACCGGCGATCTACGGTCGGTCTTCCTCCAGCACGTGGCGATGGCGGCAATCTGGGCGTTTGTTTCCTTCCTTCCACTGATTTCCTCTCAAGTAATGATCGAAATATTGCTGGTCCTGAGCGTCTGCATGGAGCCCGCACAAGAGAAAAAAGGGGGACATCCGACTCTTTGAGATGTGAGATCCCTCTTCCGGCGATGGCCCCTGGCGTTGGCGGGATCGAACGGCGTAGAACTGGGAACGCCTATCTCACTGAACATAGTGAATAATCGGTACCACATGGGTACGTGTTGCGGGGAAGACTCTGTCTTGATGTTTATTTTGGTTGAGTTCCTAGTCCTTCACGGGATCGGTAGAGAAAGAGATGGACGGCGATGAAGCAGGTGCTCAAGGCAAGGAACTCAGCTAGATCTTCTACATGCAAGGACTTAGAAATGAAATGGTTTCCTTTTTCGTGTTTTTCCAGTAGCAAGAAAGAAGAGAACACAAAACCAAAGCACAATGGGGTACGGTGGCGATGCAGAGCTGCTTCTTCCTCCAGATTGCAGTAACTTTTGCTCGATGATAGGAACGGAGCTTGTTCTCAATCCCCACAAACGACGCCATTTGATAGTACTAATTCCCGATTCCCGTTAGTCGGTTATATGTACTGTATATATGTAAACAAAGAATGAATCAAGAAGAAACAAGAAATAGTTAAACCCTCCTTTTATTAATGTTCTGTTCTTTTCTAGCTATAGAGAGAAAGAAGAGGATATGTAGAGAGGGAGAGAGAGCCCAAAGAGAGGACCGAGAGATGGCCAAAATGGCCTCCCGTAGCCCAAGGGCCAAAAGGCACTTAAATAGGGCCAATCGAGGTGGCGGGTTTGACCCATCTCAGGTTTGACCCGTCACCTTTGACCCCGACCCGCAGGCCAAGACCCGAACCGCGAGACCCCAACCCGACTGTAAGCGATGGCACGGACCCAGGGTATATAACTTATCAGATATGAAAGGAACATTTCAAGACAATGGCACAATAACAATAGACTTCAATCTAAAGATTACAATGATTGGTGAATACAAGTTACCAATCTTCATTGAGAACGAAAGAACACATACTAGTACCAACAACATCGTAACTAGCATGCAAATCAATAGGATAAACATAACGATTCAAGCGAACATCAATGACTTCACATTAATCCAACAAATCACAAAGTTGGACCTCAAACATGATTCAAGACTCATAAATCCTATCGTGGATACTTAGGACATCGTTCTAGATGTACGAAACATAAGAGAAGACACACAATACGGTTCAACAAAACAGAGGCCAAAACCTCACGTACCAGTGGGCGGAACAGTGGAGGGTCAACCACCCTCCATGCACAACCCGATACCAGCGGGTGGACCGGCGGGTGGTGTACCCGCTAGTACACACGAACCAAGAAAGATTTCCCTTCGAGGAAAATTGCAATGGAGTACAAGTTCAAGTCCAAAACACCCAAAATCTTACATCAATCAACAAGGAAACTTGAACAACAAGAATAGCTCAAGAATAGCATTTATGAACCCTAATCACAAGCTCTAACATGCATAAACACAAGATTGTACACAAATTTACTCAATAACATCAAGAACATCAATAGATCATCAAGAAATCATCATTAGCAAGTATAAAATAGGTTTTGTAGAAAATAGGTTACCTCTTAAGCCTAGGAACACTTTCACCAACTCCTATTCTTCCTTTTGGAGGCGTTCTTCTTCAAGATCTTCCCAAATTAAACACATCAAAAAACCCAAACAAGACAACAAAACTTAGATAAAGATAAGGAAAGACTAAATAAAAACACTAGCCAACCTTAGGACTTACCCTTGACTAATGCAATTCTCTAAGGAATTTAATCAATTTAGGTCCTCCAACTATTTAATAAGAAAATTAGGAAGGAATATGTGAGGCAACCTTAGAATTAATTAAACAATTAATTCCGTTTAAATGATAATTTTTCGGGGTGTCACACATCTCCAATGGAACGATATCTAAACTCTATACTGTGATTTGTCACTTGATGGATGTGTGAAAACCGTCCTTATCAATGACACACTTGTGTGAGACCTTCCCACAAATTTTTATCTGTGAGATAGTCGGGTCGGATCGAGTCAATATACAAATTTAATATTTATACTAGCAAATGTAATACTATATCACGAATACAATATTTGTTACTTATAAGGGAAACATAATATTTTTGAGGACAAATGTAATACTTTTATATTTTTGATGTAAAAGTAGTACTTTTTTCATCCAAAGGATTATATTTTATCTCATAAGTAATGTTGTACTTATATAGGAAAATTTAATACTTTTACGTCAAAATGTAAAAGTATTATATTTTTTTCCTCAAGAGTATTACATTTTCCCATATAAGTAATAAATATTTTATTCCTAGTTTAATATTACATTTGCTAATATAAGTATTGCATTTCATATTGTCCCAACCTATCTCACACATCCTTTCACAAAAGTTTTTGCGATATATAATTGTACACATGAAATTTGATTTTTTTTTTTTTTAACATAGAACGATAAATGCATAAATTAGGAAAATTCTAGAATGTCTTTCATTTCAACCCCTCCTAACAATAAATAAATGGGTACTTTTGATTCATAATTTCTAAACCCTTAGGATCCATAATTTAAATACAGTCGATCCATAATTTCTATACAGTAGATCTATAATTTCTATACTGCACTGATTTGTGAAATCATGGTTCAACAATTGGACTCTAAATTAAAATATAAATTTTAGCTCACAGATTCTAGTAATTATGGATCTACAGTATAGAAATTATGGATACAGATTCGTGCGCACCATGTGCATGGTGGCACATGCTCACAGCATAATTTACCGTGTAATAGTTGGTAAACCAGTAAGATAAATTTTATCCATTTTCATCATATCATCTGGATCTATTGAAAAAAAAGGTAAAAACTTAAATGTTATTTGTTCCCAATTTGGAAAAGAATTAAGGGTGTAATATAATCAGAGAAATTTCCATAATTGGAAATTTTTTAAGTTTATATATTCTTGAAAATACTATTTTCAAGAACATGCTATGCTTGAGAATAAATATCTTTTATTATATAGGGTATTTCAATAATTTGAATACTTATGTAATTTCCATTTCTAAAATGAACCAAAACTTAAATACAATTCCTAAAATGTATACATTCAAAGAACGACAAATTGAATATAATTCAAAATATATATCTTGCTTTTCGATTCCCTATTTAATATTATTCTTTTTTCTCCAAACTCAATTATGTAAACCAAATA